AAGCGTATCATAATAGTATAGAAATCCCAGAAAAGTTCAGGACATAATCATCTCCACTGTCCTTGAACACACAAACTAAAAGGTATTCACAGGGCCAGGGATTTAGCTCAGTGGTTCCACTGCCTGCCTTGCAAGCACAAGGACCTGAGTTCGATCCATGGTACCCCCCGCCCAAAAAAAAAGGCATTCACTATGGTACTACACCTACTTTATTCTATCCCTGAGTCTACATGTGCTTTTGCTATTCATGTCTCACAATCTTTGTTCTTACAAATTTAACCAATCAAACATTTTGCAGTGGTATCTCAGGTCATGAACTTCTTTCCATGATTCTGCTGGCAAAGCAAATTGGACAAGAAGGGAATCAAATTTCCCCATAAAGTCAACACTGAACCTAACCATTAAATTTGATTCCGTTCTTGTCCAATTTGGTTTGCGATCAGAACTGTGGAAAGAATTAAGTTCCAGAACCAAGGTATCATTGTATACTGGTTTGTGGAAACAAAGACAGCCAACCTTCAAGGACTAGTAATTTAGGAACCTGGATGCAATGTCACAATATATATACTAGAAGACATATATCAAGGAGTTTAATAACTCAATTTTAGAGCCAATCTTAACCACTCCTATTGATGTACTGTCTAAAGTAAAATGGTTGTTTTGGTTTTTTGGTTTTTTTGAGACAGGATCTTCTATAGCCCAGGATGGCCTTGAACTCACAGGGATTCTCCTGCCTCAGCCTTCTGAGTGCTGGAATTACAGACATACACAACCACTCCAGGCTGCTTTCCTTAATGAGATAAGCACATAAACCTAGAGTTGGGGAAGTAGTTTAGTGGTAGTTTTTGCCTATTACACATGAGACCCTAGGTTCATCAAGTTATGGTGCTATTCTCCACTTCCCAAAGATCATACTATAATAAAAATTATTATAAAAACTATAGTATTTCAGTCTAAATGTCTTCCTAGACAGACATAGGAAAAGACTTTATGAACAAATCCTCAGTAACGCAGGAACTAGCACAACTGGGATCTTATCTTATTAAAAAGCTTCTGCACTGCAAAAGAAACCACCAACTGAGCTAAGAGACAACATGCAATGTGGGAAAAAATTTTTTACCAGATGCTCGTCAAAGGACAATTATCTAGAATATATAAAGAACTCCAAAAAATCAGGCCCCCCAAATATAAAGACCTGATTCAAAAATGAGCATCTGAAACGAACAGACATTTCTCAAAGAAGTAAAAGCAGCAAAAAATATATGAAAAAATGTTCCACATCACTGGTCATTCGAGAGATGTAGATGAAAACAACACTGAGATTCCACCTCACTCCAGAAAGAATGGCTGCTATCAAGAAATCAACCAATAACAAATGTTGGTGGGGTTGTGGGGAGAAAGGAACCCTTCTCCATTGTGTGAGAGTGCAGACTGGTGCAACCACTATGGAAATCAATATGGAGATACCTTAAAGAATTGGAATTAGAAGTTCCATTTAATCCAGCTATCCCGGTGCTGGGTATCTTTCCAAAAGAATTAAAAGAATCACACCACAGTGATATATGCACATCCATGGTTATAGCGGCACAGTTTTAACAGCTAAAACTTGGAAACAGCCCAATTGCTCATCAGTTAGAGACTGGATAAAGATGTGGTTTTTCTATAAAATGGAGTACTAATCAGCCATAAAGAATGAGAAACTAAGGTAACTCATAGGAAAATGGATGCATATTGAGGACATACTCTTAAGTGAAATAAGACACATATGTATAAATACCGAATAGTTTATCTGGTGTGAAAAACTAAAAGTATAAAAGTAAAATGAAAAAAATGCAAAGAAAGTTTTTGTAAATACGGAAGGGTGGAGGGGTTGAAAGGAGGGCAGGGGTATAGAGAAAAAAATGAGAACCAAGGCCTGTCATGTAAAGGTACAAGACCCCAATGATGAATGTAACTGTACTGTATACCTAAAATGTACCAATAAACTCAATGAGAAAAAAATGTCTTCCTAAAAATAACTAAGCCAACTGACAGTGGGTCAGTTAATTCTCAGAATTAAGCTGGTCATGGTTACACACAGCTGTAATCCCAGCTCTCTGCGAGGCTGTGGCAAGAGGATCCGTATTCAAACAACCTGATGAGACCCTACCTCAAAATCAAATCTTAAAAGGTTGGGATGTGGAAAGGTAGCTCAGTGAGAAGGCCCTGGGTTCAATCCCAGTTTTATAAATACCTATATGCATTTCCAAATAATCAGACTCTAGAGCTGCTTCTCTGTATCAGATCTTCACACAGATCTTACTACTCAATCTAATTTTCATACTGTACCAAAACTGACAACTAGTATTTATGGTACTGAATCATGAAGCAGGAACTGCAAGAATTTTTTGTTTGTTTTTTGAGACAGGGTCTCACTATGTAGTTGAGACTGACCTGGAACTCACTGTGTAGCCCAGGCTGGTCTCGAACTCACAGTGATCCTCCTGCCTCAGCCTCCCAAGAGCTGGGATTTTAGGCATGCATCACCACACCTAGCTTATACGAATTTTTTTAAAGTCAAGTTTTTGCTATATAGTTCAGGTTGGCCTCAAACTCTGATCCTCCTCTGCCTCTGCCACCTGAGTGGCAGAAGTCACTTTCAGTCAGAAGTCACTTTCAGAGTTCCATGACAAAACCCAGAAATCTCACATTGATGATACTTTGATCCCATTAAGTGAGTTGAAATTAATTACTGTATATGAAACGGCTGGGGATGGCCACCGTCTGCCTTGCAAGGTCCTGAGTTTGAACCCAGGTTCCAAAATAAGTAAATACATAAAATTACAATATGTGAGATAATTCTGGACCTAAAATAAAGCAGAAATATCAAAATACAGTGGTACCTCAGTTAACGAACTTAATTTGTTCTATGATCCTGGAAAAGATGGCCACATTTGTGTTTCTGTGGGAGAGATGGCCATAACCATGTTTGTCACCTGATGCAATTTACAAACAGAAACAAAATTCTGACAAACCTTGTAAACAAAAGCATTTGCAAACCCACGCACTACTGTACACTGATTTCTGAAAAAATAATTAAGGTAATACTTAAGTGTTTTCTTTCAATAGAACAAAGGAAAATTCATAAAAATTAAAATCTTCAACAAAATATCACGCACTTACATCACGGAAAATCAGCTGATAAGCCACATAAAAAGACAAAGGGAAATACTGACCAAGAGTGTAAAGCTTACTAGGAAGCGGGATAAGGAACAGATACTGGCACTATTTTAACTGTGATGCTGCTACTAAGCCTCAGGCATACAATTCCTCTTCAGTTTCTCTATTAACATATTTGATGATTATTTGACAGAATACTTTTTCATCCAGGAGTATAATCAACTATTCTCTAAAACAGAGGTCACTGAGACATCTAATTGAAGGATCAACCATGAGTTTAACATTTGCATGAATAATAAGCATTCAGTTTTGACAGTATTAAGTATTTCATAAGACTTCTACATATTTCAATTCATTAGGACACTGGTGGAGATTTTGTCACATAAAACAGGGAAAGGATTGTCGGGTCATTTTATAATGTATGCTTTTTTCCCAAAGCATTTGCTAGCTTCTGTTTGAAAAGCAGTAAAACAACTCATTTTGGTTGGGGTTTTTTTGGTACTGGGGATCGAACTCAGGACCTTGTGCTTGCAAGGCAGGCAATGGCACCACTGAGCTAAATCTCTGGTCCTCAATTTGGTTTTTAAAAGAAATACTAATAGAGAAGAAAAAATTTTAACTGACTTATGGAAAATTAGGCAATTTTATTTTCTTTAATATATTCATTTTCAAATGAGATAATATGGATTCTTTACTACCTCTAGAGTTCATGAAAACAGAATCTACTATGAGATTAGCTTTATAAAATTAATATAGTGCTAACTGTAATTCTAACACTGAAATTATTCAAGCTGTGCATCTCCTATTTTACAGCCCATAAAAATGTATATACTGTATTACAGTTTTATGTAACAACAAAGGAGATCTCTCATATTTGGAAAAAAAGGAAGACTTCAACCAGTCGGCTAGGAAAGTTGTAATACCATCATACACTGCATAACACATAATTTATTCTAATAACCCATTTTTTAAAATAACAGACTACTTAATTCCAACTTCCTTTTACTTATTCCGGTAGTTCTACTCTAAACTACACTTTTTGTAAGTCTTCTACTACTGAGATACATACCCAGCATTAGAAATAATTTTTTATTTTTCAGACAGAGACTAGCTATGTATTTCAGTCTGGTCTTGAATTCACTATGTAGCAAAGACTGTCCTTGAATTCGTAGCAATTCTCCTGCCTCAGCCTCCCAAGTGCTGGGATAAGAAGCATTCATCACCATGTCCAGCTTACAAATAAATTTTTGATCCATAATTTTAATCTAAATTTCTACAAGGCATTTGAAACCTGGAAACGCAACATTTAAAATACACAGAATATTAGAATATACACAAAACTATTAAACTCTTTAATAACTTACTGAGGTATGCTTTTACTACCTTATTAGCAAAATAGTTACATGCAGTTTTTCTGCTGAAGTTTTAAAACATAAAACTAAAAAGGGCTTTCAGAGTCTGTGATTTTTGTACTAGAGTAGCATAACTTAACAGTCTATGCATCTGCCATGTAATCAACACCTGAGGAAAATAATTTTAAACTAGTATTAGCTGTGAAATACATGCCTATGTGCCTTTGAGGCACTTCATTCTGTTACAACATTTTACTACTAATCCTATGTTTGGAATTTAAGCATCAAATGGGATTGTATCAGAGAAAACTGAAACCCAATGTTGGTTGCCACTCTGTTATACACAAGATAACCGGTAAGGTGACTGCCAACTTAAATGTGATGGGATGTGTTTTATAGCCCACAGTGTGTGAAACAGGCAAATCAATTTTGCTACACAAGAAAGCCCATTTCAAATATCAAGACTCAAAAAGAACAGACACATAATGATGTATTTTATCATTTTATTAGGAATAATTCCAAATGGGTTATAAAGAAACATTATTGAGTTTGACAAGTTTTCCAAAAACTCAAGATATGTTCATCAGTAAACAATAGAACATCAGCAGAACCATTACATACTGGGCAAAGAATCAGGCTGATACCAAAAGCAACATGCAACATAAAAAAGATAATATAAAGGAAGACAATCTGCCGAGTAGTAAAAAGCCGCCTCAATATGAACTCTTCCAACCCGCACAGAATCAGCTATCAAATCCAAACCACACGAAGGTAAGTTTGAACGATGGAAGCCAGGAGTTGATAATCGGGGGAAGAGATGGGTTCCTCAGCACAAGAGAGCCGAATAGTGTTTTGGAGCATGTCCCTGGCTGGTACAAGCAGTATTAGAAGGTCGTTTTGGCAAGGGATAGAAATAAATACAAATGGAATGCTACATTTTTCAATCAGCAGACTGTCCCAGGAATGATAAAGGAATCAGTAAAGTAGCAAGGGGATAACTTTAAAACATTATTTGTGTGGGCTCAAAAAACATTCAAAGTGATTTAAAGGTGACACAATAGTTATCTATGTCCAGGCATTTAGGCTTAAAAGAAGTAAAATTGAGAGAAGATACTTTTCCCCAAGGAAAACGTCTTTGAAACCAAGCATATTGCTAAATGGCAATATTGTACTTGGTAAACAATAATTGGCCACAAAATGGTGTAAAGGCTGTAATATTCTGCCCAAACCAGTCCCAGATACTGTTTAATAACCAAAATGCAAACTATTTCTGTGGTAAGGAGCCTAGACCAATTCTATCAAATGTGTCCGTGGTTAGATATCCAGTTTCATTTAACGTTTTGAAAGCTCATTTGACAGCCAGTCCAGTCCTTCATACAGACCTGTTCCTTGTGTAGCACAAGTGGCTTGAACATACCACTGTGAAGAAAGGACCAGAAAATACTTCATTAACAACATTATATAAAACCAGGGATTAACCCTTCTTAATCAAGAAACTAAGTACCCCCCCACTGATGCACCATTAAAAAAGGAAACAACACAGAAATCAATGTGAAGAAATGTTATTACATCTCATGAACATACGCTTCTGTTTATATTTAATGATTTCAGTAACAATAAAGATTATTTGAAATTACCCTTTAGACTAAAAACTTTATTACACTTCTTTTCACAAAACCTGCCTCCTGTGTCAAGCTATGCGTCCCTGTCTATTAGATTTACCCAACTTCCCACCGTTTATTATGAAGAGAAGACTCATGAGGAAACCTGTAAACACACAAACACCCACTATGGTCCTGGTAGTCCTTTATAAACCTAAATAGAAGGGGAGATTTTTATATTTTTAGTGCTGGTGATACAACCCAGGGTCTTGCACATTCTACTGCTCTACCACTGAGTCACACCTACAGCCGAGGAGGGGCAAAGTTCTGAAGAGTAGAGTTTGCAGGCCTGGGCATGTAGCTCAGTGGAAAAGTGCATTGCCTTCTACGCCCTCCCCAAAAAAGGGTTATACAATAGTATCTCCCACACTGGCAAGTGAATGCAAAACTATTGTAGAGCTCACAATACTACTAGTTTATAAAATCATACTCCTATACATGAGAGTGTAACAGGTTTTGCCAATATTACAATCACTGATGTTACAGAATGAGGTACTCGACACAAATACATCTAATAATGATATATTCAAAATACCTTCAAAACTTATCATCACTAGAGTTCATTAAAAAACTTCTGAGCTTAACACATAGTACTACATGGTATTGTATATAGCTGTTAAGGGCTGAGGATGTGGCTCAGGGGCATTAAGTCACTGCCTTGAAAGTGCAAGGTCCTGAGTTTGATCCCTGGTACAGGAAAAAAAAAGTTTCTAAATACAGTGGACACTTGAGTTATGACTGGCCTCACATATGAAAATCTTGGGTTATGACTGGAAGTATACTTTGAATTTACAACCAAAATCTTGAGTTACAACTTAAACACCAACTGCTTGTGTGGTTGTAAACCAGAAAAACATATGTAAGCACACGTAAGTGTCAGTCTGAGAGTAGATGCCCGTGTTTGTGGACGTAATTTTACTCAGTGCTTTATACAATCTCTACAATTACTGCTCTCAAAATGGCCCTACAATAGCTAGAAAAGCTAAGGAACGGAGGGAAAGAAAAGAAAGCAATCACAATCAAAAAGAAGGAAATTGTGGAGAAATATGAGAGTGGTATTCATGTAACTAATCTCACTAATACACACAGTATATCAAAATCCACCACCTTGACAATCTTACAGAGAAAAGATTTATAAAAGGAAGCTAGTGTTGCTAAAGAAAGTACCCAAATTAGTAAATCATGAAAGGCTATTATTAATATGGATAAATGAAAGGCAGATGGTAGGTCATAGCATGACTCTACAAGTTGTGAAAAAGCTAGGGTTATAAATGCAGATCTCATATAGCATAATCCATTAACAAGTGATAATGGTGAAAATTTCATGGCAGTCAAGGGTAGTTTTACAATTTTAAAGTGAGAATTAGGGTGCAAAGGATAACTAGGCATGGTGAAGCAGCCAGTGCTGATGAAAGGGCTGCTGAAAATTATGTATACCACTTTAAAACAATGACACAGAGAAATGGCTTTTGTTCTCAAGTTTTCAACTGTGATTAAACTGACACAAACACATCTAATAATATATTACCCAGGAAGAGAAGAAAATGCCAGGCCTATGAAGGGTAGGCTGGGCAGGCTAACATTATTACTATGTGCCCAGTGGTGATCTCCAGAAAAAGCCTGTCTTGGTTTATCACTCTGAGACCTCTAGAGTGTTCAGAAAATATAAAGTCATGAAAAGTAGGCTAAGAATCATGTGGAGATCTGATGTAAAAGCCTGAGAAACAAAAGTACTTTTTCTTAAGTGGATCAGGGAAGCTTTCAGTCCTACTGTTAAGAAATATCTAGAGGAAGCTGGGGTTTGGCTCAGTGGCACTGTACATGCCTCATAAGCACAAGGTCCTGAGTTTGATCCCTGGTACAAAAAAATGAAAAATAAAGCAATATCTTGAGGACAAAAGTTTACCACTCAAGGCCCTGAACTTTATGTACAATGTTCCTGCTCAACCACAAGATTAGTAAGAAGAATTGGCTGAAGAATTCCCATAGCCCTCAGTCAAATTCCTCCCACCTAATATAACTCTACTGCAGTCTATGGACCAGCAGGTTAGATAGATAGATAGATAGACAGATAGATAGACAGATTTTCTTTTTTTTTTTTTTTTTTTTTTTTACTGGGGATCAAACTCGGGTCCTTGGACTTGCGAAGAAGGCAGTGGAACCACTGAGCTAAATCCCTGGCCAAGTTATAGCTAACTTTAAGAAGCCATAAACCAAGAAACTCTTCCCGAAGTGCTTCCAGACTGTCTCAGAGAGATTTAAAAAAAAAAAAAAAAAATACAGAGTCTCACTATGTAGTTCAGGCTGGCTTTGAATTCATATGTAGCCCAGGTTGGCCTTGAACTCGTGGTAATCCTCCTGCCTCACTCAGCCTCCCAAGTGCTTGGATTGCAGGCATGCAACTCCATGATCAGCATCACGTAAGATTCAACCCTCAAAGAGCTCTGGAAGAAACATTACAACATCCTTTCTTGTGTGGGGTTAACTGAGAAAACCTGGGCCAATGTCTAAGGACACAGATCTGCGTGGAAGAAAGTGCGGTCTAAAATTATACACAGAAGACTTTGAAGGCTATGTAGAGAAGCCTAAACTTTTGACTGACCCTGTGGTTGATGACACCATCAGAATAGCAGTTTATAGGCTTGCAGGTAGACAGTGGTGATGTTGAGGAACTAGTGCAGAAAAACTCAACAGAAACTGTCTACAGAGGAACTTCAGCAACTTCTGGCTGAGCAACAGAGAATGGCAATTGAGGAGCATTCTGATGAAGAGGGGGTGTATCACAAATCAGTGCAGCCAAGTTCTTCTGAAATAAAGGAAATCCTGAAAAATGGACAGAGCTCCAAACACTTGTAGAGAAGACACACCTAGACAGAGAAAAAGCCAATCCTTGCATTCGTTTGCTTAATAACATGCTATGTCATACTGCAGAACAGTATTTAAAAAGACAGAAACAGACCTCCTTAGGCCATGTTTTAGTTCTGAAAAGGTTGAGACCCAGTGAGCCAGAAGCAGGTTATAGAAGGCTACAGGCTCCCCCAAGGAGAGACAGGACACTACAGCCAGGCTCCTGATGCTGTTATGGGAGGGGCCTCTCCTTCCACATAATAACCACCCTCTGTTTCATACTCCCTTCATATAAGCCAAAGATATCAACATGAATGGTGAGTACAGGATTAAATTGTTGTTTCTGGTAAACTAGGCACATTTTATAACTTTTGGGTAAGTACACTAGGAAAATTATTAGTGTTTTTGACAAATTACCCACATTGTACAACGCTTTTTATTGAGAAAAGATTAGTGCAGGGATGCTTTAGGAGGTTCAGAATGCATTATGGGTACTTCCATTCTTTCTTATGAAAATAATAGTCTTGACTTACAACCAACTTGAGTTATAACAAGGACATGTGAATAAACTGAGTTTGAATTGAGTTTGTAATTTGAGAATGAATTGAGTTTGTAATTTACATCAGTGTTTTTCACACATTCCACTTGTCCTGCAGTAGTTTCCCAAATCTTTAAAACATTAAATAGGGCCCAGGGATTTAGCCCAGTGGTTCCTCCACCTGCCTTGCAAGCAGAAGGACCTGAGTTTGACCCCTGGTACCAAGAAAAAAAAAATCATTACTGTAAAATATTAAAGAGTAAATAAAAATCAAATTAAAGGCATTTAAATCTCTGCACACTTAAAAATGTATGAAAAGTTAGAAAATGAAGAAGATATCAATATACTTTCAAGCACCATTTAGCACATTACAAAGGTTTGAAATAAAATCTGAAAGGCTGACCTTCATACATACAAGAGCCTACAATACCACATTCTTATAATGATGTACTTATTGTTCCAAAGGGATAACTATTAAATGTTTACATCAAATGTCAGCTACAGTTATTAGCTCTGTAACCCTTACAGTCAGGTTATCACCCTCCCAATACTTACTATTCTGTTACGAAGAGACTGAAGACCCAATTTATCTGTCATTTCACTGATGGCCATAGCATTTGGCAAATCCTGTTTGTTTGCAAAAAGCAGCAGCACTGCATCCTGCAGCTCATCTTCCTGAAGCTGGAAATAAGTTTAGGCATTAACAGCTACTGAACTGGAATCCAACTGCTGTAACTGCTCAAAGCACTGCCTTTCTACCTACACACACACACACACACACACACACACACACACACACACACACACACATTTCTACTTAACATGCAATTCACTATTAAACATCAAACAATTCCATGTAAATTTGAAAGTACTCTTAAAAAATTAACTCTCATATTCTTCTGTTTTTAAACCAAGAGTAAACATCATATGCCATCAAGTAAAACAAAACTATTGTAAGCCAATCATCCAACATTCCAAAAAGGTCAGTCACTTACCCTCAGTCTCTATGATTATCACTGAGGATCAGGATTGACAAGGACAAGAAATAATGTGAGCATAAGCCTTTTAAGGCACAATCTAATTGAACTTAGCAGCAATAGTTAATAACTGTAATTCTTTCTGGCCTTCAGCCAACTGGACCTCAGAACAGTGAGACAGCAATACAATTATTAGGACCTTAACAGTATCACAAAAATGTGCAAGAAGAGTACCAGGAATGGAAGCTGGTAAGAATAAGTACTGATACATGACATAACATGAATAAATCTTGAAAACCCATGCTAAGTCAAAGAAACTAGTCAAGTAAAAACACATACAGTATGATTCCAATTAAATGTGTATCAAGAAAAGTGCCTGTATAAAGACAGAAAGTGGATTAGGGGCTGTCAGGAACAAGGTGTGAAGTACAGAGAGGAAGCAACAGGGAATGGCTGTTTCTAATAGTTCTAAGATTTTTTTTAAGAGGATGTTAAAAAACACTAATGTTCAAATTATGAGTGAAATTTATGGTGTATGTAATATCTCAGTACAGGTGTTTACAAAAGAGCATCAGTTGGTGGCAAGTGACAAAAAGCCACCACAGACTGAGTTACAAACACAGGCAAATGGCTTTATTTATAAACTGCACTCCCTCCTAAGAGCAATGAATGGAAATTACAATTTCATTTTGGTAAATACATTTTAACAGCTACAAGCCTGAACCCATGACAAGGTTCCCCAGCAGTTTTTCTTGCAGGGTTCTGAACATCATGAATACATAAAAACATTATGATAAATCACAATAAATGGCAAGGCTTAAATTTCACTGTCAGCCCAAGTGCCTCTACTTTCAGACAGAAAAATTATTTATCAGAGTTGGTTGTTACTACAAAATATTTCTGAATTACAGGCAAAGCACAGAGAAAATCAATCCCAATGACTGGGGACCAAGGGACTTTAACCAGGATCCCTAAGTCAAAACTGAGTAAGTATAGGTAATTTTATATTCGTGAACTAAGACACAGGAATAAATCAGGCATCCTTGACCAGAGATGAACATCAAAACCAAACATGGTGAAACAAGCTGCACATTCTCAATTTAACCGAAGTAGCTACTCTTCTGTTTTTATTTATTTAGTTAGTTTTTGGTACTGGGGATTGAACTCGGGCCATTGCGTTTCTTTCGGAGGCAAGCAGCTAAACCCCAGGCCCTACTCTTCTGTTTTTTGTTTTTGTTTTTATAAATAAGTCATTATTTTTTGGTTTTTTGTTTTGTTTTGTTTCTTTTGTTTTGTTTTTTGAGACAGGGTCTCACTATGTAGTTGAGACTGACCTAGAACTCACTATATAGCCCAGGCTGGTCTCAAACTCACAGTGATCCTCCTGCCTGAGCCTCCCAAATGCTGGGATTACAGGCTTGCACCACCACACCTGGCTCTTCTGTATTTAAAAAGCTCTCTTTAAGGTGGCTGGGGATGTAGCTCAATGACAGAGTACATGCTTGGCATACTCAGGACCCCAGGTTCAATCTTCAGCACAATATAAATAAATGAACAGCTATATAGGAGATTTTTGTATGCATTATTAAGAAAACACGAATTAAAAAAAAAAAAAGAAACTGTGAATAATGTTCTTAACTTTCAAACTCTTAAAACAAACAAACAAAAAAACACAAACACCTTCATCACACAGTAACACATGTTGAAAATGATAAATTAAAGTATATGCTTACCATATTCTGCAGTACCATTGCAGCTTCCTGAATTCTTTCACGATCATTGCTATCTACCACAAAAATAAGACCCTGGGGAAAAATTGATTTAATAAGTTGTTTGTTTTTTGTTGTTTTTGGGTATCAGGAAACAAACTCACGGCCTGTTCCACTGAATACCCTCAGCCTTCAATAACATGGAACAGTTACAAACTATAACATTTAATGCACACAAAGAATATAAAACATATTTACCAAGGGGGAAAGGGTTAGGTGTAAAAAAAAAATGTCTTACTAAAATTTTGGGCACTACTTGGAATCCCTTTTCTAAGCAAGGTTAAGTATAATAAATATTATCATCACTACTCTTTTACCTAGCATATTTAAGCATAGGTAGTAAAACAGCCAGAAAGTGAGGATGAAAAGAAAAATAAACTAGGTACGCCAAAGAATCATGAACTTACATGAATTGCTTAATACAAGGCATACACAAAGTGTGAAAAAAAAGCAGGAAGGATGGAGGGACAGGAGGAATCACACTAGTTTTTATACACACCACTATTGATCAGTTTCTGTCACTGTAGAAAAAAAAACCAAACAAAACCAATTTTGCTACAGAATATTGCTGCCAAATCTAAAATCAGGAAGATGCTTAAGCAAAATAGATGATGAAAGCTTCAAGGTTCACTTAAATAAAAATTTTAACAATTTTTAAGTACTATATAATTCTGTATTACAAAAAAAAAAAAAACAGAATTGGGAAGAGATTAAACAAAGATCTGTAATATCTTTCAAGTGGGAAACTAAAAAATTCTCAGCTAAAAGGAAGGACAGAATATTTTATAGCTTTGTTAAAAATCTTTTCCTGTTAAAGTGATGATTATTTTATGCTTTTTCCCACAACTCTGACTCCTATTTGTGATCACAACAACACACTATCTTGCGCTTTTGCTATTTTTATATAAGTGCACTAAGGAAAGGTACTCTCCTTCGTTTTCTGTTTATTCCTCAGCACCACCATAGCACAGAGCTCACCAGGGCACCTAACACTTAACCTTTGGTCATTAAATGACATCGTTTCCTTTATATACCGTGATGGCTTAGATCTGGAATGCTCCCCAGAACCTCATGTGTTCAGAGGTGGGGCTTTTGGAAAGTGACTGGACCATGGGGACTTATACCCACTAGTGGATTCATCCACTGGCAACTCCACACCTGAATGTATTGTTGGGTTGGGGTCTGGTCAGCAAGAGTGAGACCTAGAAGAGTCTATCTATCTTCCTCCCGGGTTCCTTCCATGGGTCCCTCTGCTTGCTGGCAGCCATGGTGTAAGCAGATTTTCTGTGCCAAGATTCCATCATGCCTTTTCTGACTGACAGCCAGCCTACCACAGACTGAAAAGCTGACCTAAAATAAACCTCCCTCCTTTGCACTGTGGGGGTCAGGTACTGTGTACCAGCCATGAGAAAATAACTAAGACAAAAATTCCCAAATCTAGTTCCTCTAGCTGTGTGAGAAACTATTATTTAAACATCATACCCTTTGGAAACATTTTCAGTGCTTTTTTAGCCAAAAGAGCATCATGGAAAAAGACCCAAATTCAAACCTCAGCACTACTTGTTGTATATTTACTTTTCTTTTTTCTTTTTATTTTTTTTTCTTTCTTTCTGCTACCAGGATTGAACTCAGGATGTTGTGCTTGTGAGACAGGCGGTGTAACCACTGAGCTAAATACCCGGCTCTACATTACTTTTCTTTGGCATGCCTCTGAAATGAAAATATGATATTTATAAGCCTGTTAAAATTAAATGTAAGTACAAAGGGATATAAGGAGCTGTCCTTCATGGAGATTTCAAAGATCTATGGTGGTTGGCTTACTGCGCGTACTTAATACATCTGTCTCCCTCTTTGACTTCCTATCTCAAAATCTATTATTTATTTTAGAATTATTCTTAAGAAGAAGGGTCGTAACTCATATATATGCAATGTTTCCAGTGATAAGAGAATGAACATAAAATAGCAAAAAGTGCCTATAATATCATTCACACTAACCGTTCCTTAAAAATAAGTCAACTTCAGTGGTACATTGAAACTGATGAGCAAACAGAATTAGGACCAGGTTCAAGAGAGAACTCTGATCTTGGAATCATGCTAAACAAGTTCCGTTTTCTAATATGTAAAATATATTCTCTAGAACACTAGCTCTCAATGGGATGAAATTTTGTCCCTAAGATATACTTTGCAAGTGTAGAGACATTTTTACTTGCTACAGATCATTTGTGAGGAGCTGCTGTTGGCATCTGGTGGGTAGAGGACAGAGATGCTATTAGACACCCAACAATGTAAGAGAATCCTTCTTACGGCTCAAAAATGTGAACAGTGCTGCTGTTTTAAAAGATCCCTGGCCAGCAACATGAGCAGCACTAGAGAACTTGCCAGAAATACAGAATCTCAGGCCTTGGCCAGCCTTGGACAAACATCGAGGTGATTCCTGCCCTGCACACATTAAGTGTGACAAACACGAATGAAGCTTGGCTTATGTGCTCAAGAGATTTTGATTCAAGAGGTCTTCAGCTATGAATGGGGATCTGGGGTTTTTAAAGGTCCCCGGGTTATTGTAATATTCAGTCAATCAATACGCAGAACCCTTAGTCTCTTCTATTCCAACGTATGTACTCTACAAACTAACAAAAGTGTTATCTTACAAGTCAACACAGCAGATTCACCTTCATTATTTTCAATAAACACAACTAGGCTAAAGGGAGGCCTAGAACTGTCCCACATTCGTTACTAATTACCATAACAGAAAGCTATACACACCTTAACTATCTCAAGAGCCAAAAGAACTACCAATGAGAGAAACCTAATTCACTCGGGGACACATCTGCAGCAGTACCATTTCATCTTTCAAAATCTTACTGGAAGGGCTATGGAATGCTGCAACAACTTGGCTCTCAAAGGCATGACCGAGAGTGAGCTACCGAACATGGGAGCAGTGACAAGAATGCCAGCTCATACAGTAAATACCAACATCCAAGCGAGCATTCCAGATTAAAAAACATTTGCAGACTGAAACCATAAAAAAATGTGATAAAAATCTGTAGCATTCCTTACCTGGGTATTCTGGAAGTAATGCCTCCAGAGGGGCCTGATTTTATCTTGACCACCAACATCCCACACTGTGAAACAAATGTTCTTATACTCTACTGTTTCCACATTAAAACCTACAAGGAAAAACAAAAATGACTGCTATGCACAACACTGCATCACTGAAATGACAACGTCCTTTATTTTCTTTAGAATAGCTTTTTAAAACTCCTATTCAGATAAGTGGGAAGCTTTAAAAACATAGCATTAAGTAACTGTTTTCATTATACTATAAAGTAAATTCATCTATAAACTTTCTTACCAATGGTAGGAATGGTGGTGACTATCTCCCCTAACTTGAGTTTATACAGAATGGTCGTCTTGCCAGCAGCATCCAATCCAACTACAAGAAGACATTACATATTTTAAATTTTCATCAAAAACACACAAAGATATAATTTTAAAGTAACTTATAATTCAAAGTTACAGCAAGGTGCCTGTAATCCCATACTCAGAAGGCTGAGGTAGGAGGATCGTTGGGAATTTATGGCCTATGTAGTGAGCTCACTGCCAGTCTGAACTGCATAGTGAAACTGTCGCAAAAAGAGAGAGTAATGTTCTTGCTTGTCTGGGAAAAATCCACACCTAAAAAGGGTAAACCTGGCCTGCTATGGCGGTACATACCTATATTGAGAGCACTCTGGGAGGCTGAGGCAGGAGGATCAGAAATTCAAGCTCAAGTGACTTAGCAAGACCCTGTCTCATAGTTTTAGAAATAAAAGATCTGGAGACACCCTTGTGAGAGAGGCCCAGGTTCCATTCCCACTACTACAGGAAAGAATGAAAGAAGGAATGGAGGGAGGCAGGAAGAAAACCTTATTATGGTGATACAGAAAGGTAATCTAACTATCTTTTATGTTTGAGTTTCCTAAAACCTACATATTCTTCATTGTTTGCTAAAAATCTCATAAATGAAAGAGCAAATGTAGTAACTTCGTTTATTACATCATTTTTCTAATAACATCACATCTCGTTTGTTCAATCACTTAAAAATCAAGTGAACTAAAGGGTAAAAAGGGAAAAGAAAAAAATGTGAGATAATGAAAAGATGGAAATAAAGTGTTTGTAGATGGGGAGGGGAGGAGGGAGTGAAGGGAGGGCAGGGGTAAGGGGAAAAAATGAGAATCAAGACTTGTCATGTAGAGGTACAAGATCCCAACAATGAATGTAACTGTACTGTATCCCTAAAATGTACCAATAAACTCAATTAAAGCTGAAAAAAAAAATCAAGAGAACTACATTATTATTTAAGCAAGGACATCTTCATATTTAAATTAAAGCATGAGTTAGCACAGGAAAGCAAGGCTACTAAGTTTTAAAAAAATGAAATCCTTTCACTTATCCAGTTTATATTCCTATGTGAGTTACATACACCTGTCCAAAACAGTACAGACCACTACAGTTAAATCAAACTCCTTCCACTAATACAACATAACAAAGGATCTTTTCTACCCTGTTCCCTAATGGAGGGTGGCTTAAAAATTTCTGTGGAGACCCAAAGCCTCTTATGCTCTTCTTTTTCTCATGCCCACTAATCAAACTTTGTTCTTCCCACTCCTTGACTGAGATGCACATTTCTTCTTTCTGAAATACTATGGCACACACTCAGGCCCTCACTCACGGGTGTAAGAAAAGCCCACTGCGGGGCCAGAGATTTAGCTCAGTAGTGCTACATCTGCCTCCAAGCATAAGGTCCTGAGTTTGATTCCCAGTTGTGCAAAAAGAAAAAAAAGAAAAGCCAACTACTACACAAAGTGATTTATTTTTAGAATATGCAACAGTACCAAAAGATCAGCATCACCTACAAAAAATAAAAAAAAATCAGAAAACATAACTTGCAAAAATACAGAAAGTAACTATCATAAAATTTAAACGAAAGGACAAAGTAAGAGGGCACAAAAAGCAACCAGAGGGCCAGGGATTTAGCCCAGGGGTTCTACCACCTGCCTCGCAAGTGCAAGGACAGGAGTTCAATCCCTAAGCCACGGTCAGGTTTGGTGGTGCACACCTGTAATTCCAGGTTCCCAGAGGCTGAGGCAGGAGGATCACCATGAGTTTGAGGCCAGCCTGAACTACATAGCGAAACCCTGTCTCAAAAAACAAAACAAACACAAAAGCAAATACCCAAAACAAAATTAAGGAAAAAAAAAGCAACCAGATCTTTTTAAGTTTCCTACAAAGTTATTTCTAATGAGGATCAGACCTCTTCAGGTGATTTTGGGGGGGTGGTACTAAGTATCAAACTAAGGAGCTTGCACTTGCAAGCTCAGTACCACAGAGCTAAAAATCCTAGTCCTCTCTTTAGGCGATCTTAACCAAATTAGTAAGAAAACCTAAATTCACCTATCTCAAAATACAATTAATCCAAGTCAGAATTGAAACACATACTAAAGGGGGGAGGAGGGTTAGAAAAATGAAACCACAGGAATGAGGTTTTGAGAATCCCTCCGTCCTCACTGGAGGTCCAAATGTACCACTTAAAAGCACCAGGAATCCAAAAATTATTGACAAAGAATGGGAGAAGCCAGGCACAGAGGCATACACATATAATTGCAGCACGCTGGGAGGCTAAGGCAGGACTGCAACATCAAAACCCAGCCTGGGCAAATTAAAAATTAAATTTAAAAAGATCTGGGGATATAATTCAATGCCAAGGCCCTGGTTCAATTCCCAATATCAGAAACAAAAATTATCAAAAAGCACATGGGTAAGCCAATTTGTCTTTTATTTTTAATAAGCTTTGTATTTGTTTGTGTGCCTCTCCCTCACATTCCACAGCCAGGGATTAAACCCAGAGCCTGCAAACTAGGTGACCTTTCTCCACCACTGAGCCACGCCCACATCTCTTCAGGCAAACTTAATGATCTCCTCTACCTCTCTAGTTAGCTTGCTTTACCCCAATAAATATGTACTATGGTTTCTTACTTAGAAATGTTAGGCTCACAGTTTTGTTCCCCTTTAGTTATTTAAGTATATACATTCTTTTTCATTTTTGTTACCGGGGATCAAACACAACCTTGTGCTTGCAAGGCAGGTGCTGTTGCCGCTGAGCTCAAATCCCTGGCCCAAGTCTGCATACTCTTCTTTTTTTTTTTGTTTTTTTTTGTTTTTTTTGGTTTTACTACATAGTTGAGACTGACTTCAAACTCACCATGTAGCCTAGGCTGGTCTCGAACTCACAGCAATCCTCCTGCCTCAGCCTCCCAAGTGCTAGGATTACAGGTGTGTGCCACCACGCCCAGCCTGTATATTCTTAATGCTGAAATACTCAGCAATAAAATTATTCCACATAATGAAACTATAACCACTTCTCAACTAGCCAAGATAAGACTAATCTGTCCAGTGCAGCAATGTTCTCCCTCCCCTCCACGACTATAAAGAAGTCATTGTATTAAAAGGTTATACTGAATCATTACTTGCTGTCCTTAGGTAGGCCTGCACTTTGACCAAAATACAAATACAGCAAACAAACCTACCTCACTGATCTTTGCCAATAATTAAAAACCATGTTTACCAAATTATGCCAGCGAGACACACTTTAAAGTTGAAGAAAAACTGGGTGCAATTACCTCAACTTTGAGGGAGAAAAAAAATGAGTGCAAAAAAGAAAGAGTATCAGATGTATAATAATGCATCTTCATTTTTGAAATATTCTGTTTTAAAAACACTTTCATAATTTTAAAACAACTTAAAACTGAGTGCTGTGTTCCAAGCACAATACTAGGTGACTCCGTACAGTACTGAAATTCTTCTCCTCACATTAACCTCACATTTTAAGGGCGATGAATCTGAAATTCACAAATGTCCCAGGAAATCGCAAACGAAGAACAGGTATTCAAAAACCTCCTCCTTAGGGAGAAATCAGAACCCCCATACATAGCTAGTGAGAATGCAAAACAGTATAGCGACTTTGGAAAGTAGTTTATCAGCTTCCAAGGACTTCAAACACAGTTATCATGCTATCCAACAATATTGTTCCGAGATATTTACCCCAGAATATTAAAAATAGACGCACACAAAATCTTGTTCATAAATGTCCATTAACGAGAGAAAAAAACGTAGCTCCTAAATCGGGCACCTCTGGGCCCGCTGGCTCACATATCAGTCTTGTGTGCAGGGTGAGCACGAAGGGGAAAAGGGGAGGAGAGAGGCCGAAGTCAGTCACTCTGTCTCCCTCCATATGCCCACACCTAGAGAAGCCGGGATGAAGATCGCACCCCGAGAATGAGACTCTCCACTGGGTCGCTTCCCAGAGTCCGTTTCCCCCACGTCCCCACCCTAGCTTGTCCAGCTTCCTATTACATCAAGAAAGCAAGCCAAGCTCGGGAAGACCGAACCTCGCCTGGGGGTCTGAATGGGCCTCTTCGGGTGACGATCTCAGCGACCGCTCGCCCTGCGCCCCGGCCTCCCCCTTTACGGACTCTTCCCGACACCCGCCCGTCCGAGGAGAAACCGGCCTCCAGGCTGTCCGCGCAGACTCGGCCCCCCACCCCCACCCGGCCCCTCACTCACCCATCAAAATGCGCATTTGCTTCTTGCCGAAGAGGCGGGAGAAGAGCGAGGAGATCGTGAGGCCCATGGCGGCAGTGGCACTTGCGACGGGCACAAGAAGGGTTCTGGTGTGTCCCCGGGCCTTCGCCTTTTCCGCTCCCGACAAACAGAGGAGGGGAAGAGCAGACGGGAAACGCGGGAGTCTAGACGGCTCGCTGGCCGACGCTGTCCAAGAAAGCGCACACTGCAACCAGCGGGGCGAAGACCTGTTTGGCAACTGGCGCGGCAGCTTCCCGGCTCCGACTGTAACTGTCCGTGTACGTTACCTGAAGCGGCAGCCGCCACTACTGAAAGTGACTAGAGACACTCTCGAACTTGTAGAGAAGCTGGACCTCACACCCAATCTCCCTGTGCTTCCGGTGCTGCCTGAGCTACTGCGTCTGCGCACACCGGGGATTGGCCAGTTTGGCTGACGTGCAACTCTCGCCGCCGCCTCCACGTCCCGGACGTGGCTCCAGGAACCCGCGACGCCAATGGGCAACTGGCTTACTCCGAGGCACAGGCCCATGATGCATCGCTTCGCGGCCTCCAGTCAGCCTCGAGAAGGGTCACTTCCGCTCAGGGGACTGCACCACCGGGGTTGTGGTCTTTCTGCTTTCGGGAAGGCGGGAGACTTACTGGTTAGGTAGTGGACTTCTTTCTGCTCGTTGAACGTCTTACTGTTTCACGCTGAACGCCATGGGCATTCCAGAATCCCACGAATGTTCACGTTGCACGCACGCGACCAAACGCTTGTCCTAAGTAGAAAAGTGAAGGTGGGCCCTCCCTTCCACAGATAAGTACTGTAGGTAAAGAAGACGTACGAGGGGAGAAAGGGTGACAACCTATTAAGGCGTTAAGCCCCCTGGAGCAGGTCGTACTGAAGATCTCTGCTCCAGTGCACCGACACAGCGCGCCAGGAATCCCAGCACCCCGGCAGGCTGACATGGGAGGAGCCAAATTCGGCTGTTACCTCAAAAATTAAAAAAAAAAAAAAGAAGAAGAAGAATTGGGATGTAGCCCGGTGTGAAAGCCCTGGGTTCGAGCCCCAGTACGAGGCTGGCGTGGGGAGGAAGGGTGGGTCGTGGTGGGCAAATCAAGGAGGAAATCTTGCTTTCTTCAGCCTTTTTTCCTCCAGGAAGCTTGAAAGATTTCTCGGGTTCAAGTGGAAAGGTTACTCATTTCAAAAATTTCTTATGACCTCTTACATTCCCAAATGTAAAATGAAATATGAATGTAGAAAGTTTTAAAGGTCACTTTCCAATAAATTTCACCACACTGTTGCTGAAGTTAGTGGTATTGGCAAGTCCCACCCTTAACACTAGTCATGCCCTCTTCACCCGCCATTTAGAACTGGTACAGTATTTCTCCTTGAAACGTTTGTGACCTAGCCAAATAGATTACACAGGCCCAAAGCATCACAACATCTCTTCCTACTTATGATTTCATATTTAATGTTCTTAACCTCCCCTGTATACTGTCTCAAAACAGGAAGGCAAAGAACTAGTGCTTTTTCAAATTTCATTTTAGTCCCTGGATTTGGCACTCTGCTAACAACAAACATGGCTGAGTGATAAGAAGATGGACAAACTTAACCAGTTTTTACTGTACACTTTAATTTTAACAAATATATTCTGTAGTGAATCCACTGTCATGATTATATAACCCAACTGTTATTCCAGAAAGTTCCCTGATGCTCCTTTGTATTTCACTCATCCTCTTAACCGCTGTTAAGTGCAGTAAAGGAACAACTTGGTAAGTACAACTCCATCAAAATTTAAACTTCTGCTTTTCCAAAGATCAGATTACAAGAATGAAAACATAACCGAAATCCAGTCATAGAGATGGGAAGGATAGCAATTCATGTATTTGAAAAATCACGTGTATTCACAAAATGACTTTTTGATGTGTTGGCTATGATGTTGATAAACTGGCATCCTGATACACTGTTGGTGGAAATAAGTAGTACAATCACTTTGAAAAACAATGGGGCAGTTTCATAAACATTCACTTAGATTATGACCTAGCCATCCCATTCATAATACGTATTTACACAAGAGAAAGGATATGTCTATTCAAGATGTATACTCGAATGTTCCACCACCTTTATCTGTAATCACCAAATACTAGAAAGAACTCAAATATCAGCAGGTGAGTAGATGAAAACTGTATTATACTCATGTAATAGAATACTGTTCAGCAGTAAAATAAATGAACCTCAAGATAGTCATGCTGAGTTAAAGAATTCAGACCAAGAAAATATATATTGGATGATTCTATTTATATAAAACTCTAGAAAATACATGTATCAGGACAGAAAAAATGAGTGGCAGTTTGGGAAGGACAGGAATACAAAGAAGGCACACAAAGTGCAAAAGCTTGTATAAAGAAATGTGAGAGGTATGTGATAGGTATGATCACTATTGTAACTCAAGGCTATCGTCTTAAGTTAAAACTAAAATTCTGATCATAACCCAAGTTGTTCGTATGTGAGGCTGGTCATAACTCCAGGGCCTGTTGGATTTTGGCTGTGATAGAAAATACACTCAAATTAGCAAGCTGCACACTTTAAGTATGCTCAGGTTATTTTATGTCTCTTATGCCTCAATAAAGCTGTTTTTTGAAAACACAATTTGTTGGGTGGTATATAAACAGAGCTTCTGACTGTAAAAACGTTAAATATCGGGCCAGGGATTTAAGCTCAGTGGTTCTGCCTCCTGCCTCACAAGCGCAAGGTCCAAAGTTCGATCTTTGGTACGAAAAGTTAAATACTTTGCTGCGTTCAATAAAAGGCTTCTATATAAATTTTTAGGTAGTATATAACATTACATTTAAGTGACTTTTTTTAAGTGACATTTTTGTAGTGTTCATTAGAATACATGTAAATATCTGTAGAATATTGCATCATGATCTGCCTCAGTGATCTCTGATTTAAAGTTACTTCTGAGACATATCAGATTTTCAACTCAAATGGGATAAAATTATCTTCACAGAAAGGTGAATATGATTTTCACCTAATTGGGCTACATGCCAGCTTATTTTTTACCTTCAATACAAGGTCTTTCTGTTTCTGGATCGAGGAAAGTAGGTCCTACAAAAACACAGAATGTGTAAACCAATATTTACTCAAAATGATACTTCAATAGGCAAGGCTAATAGGTAAGGACAAGACAAAGGAGAGCAGAGTATTTAACCCATATAGAATTATAGTACAGAATAATTTTTATGATATCCTAGAAATTGCCAATCAGCTAACATTCAAAATTAGGCAGAATTGTCTGATACTTCAAAGTAAAACAAAACGTAAGAAAAGTCCTTTCTGAGGTGGCCATTTTAGGAAAAGAAACAGAAAGAAAAGTGTAGCTAAACACAATAGCAGCCTCCCTCCTTTACAGTAATGAGGAATTTATCAGAAATACTACCTGACAAATCAAGATGACTAAACATGAATGCATCAGTGGAACCTTGGCATCTTAAAATATGCTCTTGGGCTTACATTGTGGTTGTCTTTGTTGTACTGTTTTTCTTCAAGCGAAAGTCACCAGTTTTATTATTAGTTAACATTGAGGCTAGCCTATCTCAATTTTTTTGTTTGTTGAAACACAGTCTCACTATGTAGTCCAGGCTGGCCTTCCACTCCGTGATCCTCATGCATCAGCCTCCCAAGTGCTAGGATTACATGGGTGTGCCACCTCACCCAGCTTAGCTCACCTCAATTTTAAAGCTAAATAAAAATAAAACTATCCTTCAACTCTCACATGCAATTTAAATTGGGCTGTTGATAAATTATACAATATGAAAAATTAGTCCAAGAACATGGAAAAAGAAGTTGATACTAACTGGAAAAGGTAAGTCATAAGACAAAAGAGTTGGAATTAGATGGCTGGAGTTTGAATCCTGATTCTCTTTATTAGTGTGCTGGTGAATATTTAACAACCAGTTCTTTAAAAAAATATTATCTCTATTTCTATTTGCCAGCCTCTATGGTAAAATATTCCCATGGTACATGCTCTGAACTACAACCTAAAATGACTGAAGGTAGAAATGGGAAAACATCGGCTCTTCTGGACTAATGCAAGCAAGTGCATGCTGGTACACTTTTGGGGGGTGCTTACTATGCAGGTCAGGCTGGCCTTCAACTATGTAGGTGAAGCTGGACTCGAACTCAGTGATTCTCCTGCTTCAGTCTCCCAAGCACTAGGATTACAGACAAGTGCCACCAAGCTAGGCTTCTAGTACTTTTTTTTTTTTTTTTTTTTTTTTTTTTTTTTTTATTTTTTTTTTTTTGCGATACCAGGGATCAAACTCAGGACCTTGAGCTTGTGAAGCAGGTTCAGCACCACTGAGCTAAATCCCCAGTCCTCCAGTACACTTCTTACTCTACTACTTAGCAGTCATGTGAACTAAGGCCAAGTCACTCACCTTCTAAGCGACAGGTGTTGCAAAATGCAGATCAAAAATGCCTACCTAAATGAACTATGAAGATTAAAGAGTATCTGGGGCAGGGATTTAGCGCAGTGGTTCTCAGAGCTGCTTGGCAAGCCCAAGGTACTGAGTTTAATCCCCAGTACCAGGGAGAGAGAGAAAAAAAAGTATCTGTAAAAGCACCTACACATTCCCTGGTATGATACATAGTGTATGAAAATTAGCTATTTTTACTCAGTATAAAGAAGTAGATATGGCTATTATCTTCAACCTCTAAAGAATATTTTTGCTTTCAACAGTTGTTAGTCATTACACGAACACACTATTTTCTAACCTCTTTACAAAGAACTTCTAGATGGAGAGCCTCCGATTTTGGGGTGATTTCTTTCCACCAGGCTTTGAACTAACAATCAAAATTTAAAGATTTAAGAAAATGTCTATAAAAATAAATTTTAAAAAAGCAAAGTTTGACTGTCATTTATTTCCCCTCCTCATTACCTTTCTTACCAATAGTGCAGAAAACCATGATAGTAGAATTTTCCCAAAGAATCTAACAGTTTAAGGCTACTTTTCTGTTTTTTTTTCTTGGTACCGGGGATTGAACTTGGGTCCTCGCGCTTGCAAGGCAGGCCACTGAACTGCTGAGCTAAATCCCCGGCCCATGTTTTGTTTTCTTTTTAAAGATCTGCAGATGAGTGGAAAGGAAGGGGAAAAGACTAATTGGTAAAGTCCAATCCAGTTGCCTTTTATTCTAGAGGTCAGCAGAGATCCTGTGAGAAACTATCTTAATTGGGATGGGCTCTAAAGAACAATTATATACTATACTTACAAACTAGAAGTGTGCGGTATATATTCAAAGAAGATCATTAAAAGTATAGAATTCAAATAGGGATTTACTGGAATATTTATACCTTCCATGGAGAAATAGTTTTCTGCAAAAGAATCAAGCTTGCCACAATCTTTCCTAAAACCATGAAAAAAAAGTCAACGGAAGTTAGGTATT